CCCCGTCACTCCCTTTTCCTTCCTCCTCCCTTCATCTTGTCTTTTCCCCAGCCGATGAAAGACACCCAGGTGATCCGTGCTCTCTTTTCTCCTTCTTTCCTGTCTGGATTCTCTCACAGACCATGACACCACCCTAATGTTTGATTGAACCTGTCTATGGTATTTATCTGACTCTGTTTTATGATTTCTTTTCTAAATTTCAATTTTTTTTTATTTCTCATGCATTAAAAAGAAAAGAAAGAAAAAGTCAAATAACTCCCCAAATCAGGGACTGTCCAATAAATATACTAATAATAATCTCTTCTCCTCAAGATTATTTGCAAGGCCTCTTGCTTCACCTGTGAGGATTGTTTTTCTGGGGCTCAGCCCCAGGGGAGGCCGCATGAGCAGCTGCATCCATGTGGATGCTCCCATCCCTCCCTCAGGTTATCACTTGGGCCTGAAGCCTGGGGCCAGCTCACTCCTGGCTCAGTAGGACCTGAGAGCCTCTCTTCACTTGTCACCTATTGTGGGTCTTCTTCGGAAACCTCATTCTCCCTTGGAATCCTCTTCTTCATGCCCAGCAGCCGCCTAGGGACCACCTGGGGTAAGCCTGGGTGTGAAAGCTGGCACTGGCTTAGCTCTCTTGTCCTACAAGCTCCTCTAGGCTCCCGCTCAGCTGACATTTATCGCATCCTTGCTGTGTGCCAGGGACTGTGTTAGGCACTTTCAAAACCCTTGTTTTATTTAATCCTCACATTATATTTCTATTGCACAGAACTGCTCTGAGATTCATTTACCCAGTGGAGGTAAATGATATTATGCTCATTTTACAGGATGAAACTCAGGCTCAGAAAACCTAGGCAACTTGTCCAGTGTCGTTTTTAAGGAGAAGAGCCTGGATTTGAAACCAGATCTATTCATGTCAAGTCTGGGACTATTCTCTCTAGACCATACTATGCAAACTATGATGAATACTATTTTACATTTATATAGTGGTTTTTAGCTTGCAAAATTTGCTCTCTAATTTCCCCCTTTCTACTACTTTTCACACTGTGCTGCAATTACCCTATCTCCACAACTAATGATATATATAAATGCAATAATAACATAATGTGAGCTATTCTGGAGAAATCCCCTGAGTGAAGTGGTGTGGGGCACAGAGGAGGGAGCTACCCACTGCCTGTAGGAGCTGGGAAAGTCTTCCTGGAGGAGGTAATGGCTGAGCTGGGTCTTAAAGGCTGAGCAGGGTATTTACCATGTGAAGGAGAGGTGGTGGGCGCCCCTGGCATAAACACAGGAATGTGTTCTGGGCAGTGTGGCTGGTTCCCGGTGTGGGGGTGGAAGAAGAAGGTTGAGGCCAAGATCGTGTTGGGGTTTGAAGGCCGTGGGGAGAAGTTAAACTTTCCCTAGCATAGGAGGTGTCTCATTGAAGGATGACAATGCAGGTGGGGCTTTAGGACAAGTCTTTAGTCACACCAGTCGCCATGAGCTTTGAGCACTTGACCTGTGGCCAGTGCAACAGAAGAATTCTAAATTTTGCTTAATTTTAATTAAAATGTAAAAACCGATACTTGATTCTATGACTGGGAAACTTTTGAGAATGTTTAGAACAATTTGGGCATGCGAATAGATTTAGGCATTTCAACTGTACATTTTACGAAATCTAAATACAGAGCAAAAATTTCTGATAATAATTTGGAGTCTGAATTGAGATGCACCGTAAGTCTAAGATACACACTGGATTTTGAAGATGAAGGTGGGTTGAGTTTTTCCTACTTCTGAGGTTTTCCTTCTTCTGAGGACAATAGTTCATTGATAATTGTTTTATGTTGATTACATGTTGCAATGATACTATTTTGGATATATTGGGTTAAATAAAAAATGTGAAAATTAATTTCACATATTTGATTTTCCCTTTTAAAAATCATGGCTGCTAGAAAAATGGACAATTACATAGGGTGATTATATAATGGATTGCATTATATTTCTATTGGACAGTGCTTGTCTGAAGTTCTGATGCATCCTCAGGTACTTGCCCTTTTAAAAGCCCTTCCAATGACTCTGATGCTGGTGGCTGGGTACCCTGCTTTCAGCAGTTTTGCTGTAGGAAGATCCTTGTGGGTACCCAGTGGAGGTTGGAGTGATGGTGTGGCCCTGGAGGCAGTTAGGTGAGGAAAGAGGCCTGACTCCGGCAATGACTGTGGGGGAGACTCCCTGAAGGCTGCCCGCCCCTCATCCGAGCATTCACTTTCAGGGGCCCAGGTGCCCTGCAAGAGGCCTCAGCCCTGGCCTGGCTACTGAACTAGGAGTCAGGTGGGGAGCTGGTGTGAGCGCTAGGCATGGCTTTCATACCTGGGGGATAGACACACTGGCAGTGTTCCAGGAGAGTGAGTGCCATTTTGAGGGCCACCAGCCCTGCTGAAAGCCGCCCTCTGGGGATTAACACTGTGCCCACTGTGGGGACCGCAGAAATGCCCCCTGGCATGGAAAAGAGCCCAAGTTGGCTACCTCGTCTTCATCCTGGGACGAGGGCCAGGAGCTAATGGGAAGAGCTTCAGAGTAGTAAGGATTTTGTGACTTGCCTCTCCCATCCTAGTCAATTCCTGGGTCACTCATGTGCAGCTAACTGTGCTCTTGTTTATGTAAAGGGTCTTTGGGGGGTGTCTAAGCTGGCTTTTGAGGAAGGAGTTGGAGAAGACAGAGGAACAAGTCTCATTTTAGGGAAGCTAATTGTGTGTGGAGCAAAGCCTCTCCAGTCTAGCACCCAACACTATGCAAAGCCGACACCAACCCAGTGGGTGGCGCCGGGACAGGCCCGCCGCCGAGCCTACCTTCACTATGTCCTCGTTGATGTTCTTGGGGTCTCGGTTCACCAGGTCGATCTCCTTACAGTGAATGTCCTTGACGATCTGGGCCTCCAGGTCTGTGTGCTCTTCAGACATCATCGTGGAGCTGGGAGTACCCGTGGGAAGATTGTGAGCCGCGTGGCTGGCCCCGGCTGGAAAGACTTGGGGCAGGGACACCAGTTCAGTGTCCCCAGACTTGTGCCCCTGCCTGCTAAATAGGCCCCACCCAGCATGCCAGCTGACAGCTGTCCCACATAACTCCAGCCTGCCTCTCACTAAAGCCTCTGTGGCAGGTCTCCAAGCTAAAATTAAGACCGGAGCTCTGCTGCTAGGCCCAGCACTCCTTAAAGGGGGCTGCTGTGGGTGCCTGGCCTCACACGAGGAATGGAGGGCCTGGCATCTCTTGCTGCCACCAGAGAGCTCTGCTGCTGGGGTGAGGCCCTGGAATTTGCCTCGCTGTTTCAGCATTTGAACTCCTCTGGGAGGAAAGGTAGGATTCGGCCCTCACTCTGCCTCTTGCTTGCTGTGTGAGCTTGGGCACACCTTCCTTCTCTGGGCCGCCATGTCCCCACCTATAAATTGGAGCCCTAGTAATAATAATTGGGGCTCCTCAGAGGAGGAGACAAGCTCATGTTTAGAAAAGCGCTTCACAAAGAAAGCGAAATGCTATCTGGAAGGGATGCACGTTAGAATAGCTAGCATCTGGCCCTGCTATTTTGGTGGCCTGGAACAGGGCTGTTTTTCCTACTTCTGAGCTTTTTCCTTGGACAGCGAGTTGATGGACTGTGGTACAGGGTGCAGCGGGGGTGAGACATGGAAGGAGACCACTGATGGGGTTGCCCCCTCCCCACCCCCTACCTTCTTCATGCTGCATGGAGAGGATGTGAAGCCCGTGTTTATACTGCCCCTTGTCCTTCCCTAGTGACAGCTTCCAGGGTGTCCATAGGCCCCGGATACAGCATAGGCATTGGTGAGGTGCACCTCTCTTAGATGCCTACTCAGTTTTCCTGTGTCTTCTTCCAACTCAACCATCACTCGAAGCCTCCACCTCATGAAGAATAAAGACTCTGAGTCCCCAGGTGCCAGGGTCTAGGCATGTATTCATCCATTCGCCTACTCATTCATTCAGTATTGGATACCCAGACTCATCAGGCTGTGTCCCTGCCTTGAGGAGCTCGCAATCTAGGGGGACAAACTGATCAAAGATAAATAATTGTACTACAGTGTGGCAAGTGCTACAGTTCAAAGATATTTTACAAAGAACTTGCTTAAGAAGTCCATAGAAGTGATGTCTTACTCTGGGAGGGCTTCAGGGAAGGCTTCCTGGATGAGATGGCTTTAGCATTAGGTGTTAAGAACAAGCAGGAGTTCACCACGTGGAACATATCACATAGACTATAGATATCAGAAGACTCATGTGAACTAGAATGCCAAAAAGTGTCCAGTGGCCGGAGCGTGGGTCATCTGTGGGGTAAGGGAGGAGATGTGGTTCTGCTGGGGCCTGGGTGTGAAGGGTCCCAAATGTCATGCTAAGGAGTATGGATTTTATCTGAAAGTGCTGGGAAGCCACTGAAGACTTCAGAGCAGCAGAAGGTCTTTATCAGATTTGTGTGTGAGGAACATCCTTGGAGACTAGAGCTAGGTAAGGTACGGGGCAGGAAGACTAATAAAAAAACTAGAGGTGATAAGGGCTGTTCAGTAATTGTGTTTGGCTACTAATGATATAGATGCAAAATAATAGTGGCTTGTACAAGGTAGAGACTTTTTCTCTCTCACACATGTAATACAAATAGGTAGTTCAGAATTTTTATGGTGACTACATGATATCATTAGGAACCCAGACCTCCATAGTTGTGTTCTGCTATTCTCAATGCCACCTCATAGGCACAAAATAGCTGCTGCTCTTCCAGCTATCATATATGAGTTTAGATAAGAAGAAAGAGGAAAGGGTAGATGAAAAAAAAAGGCATCTGTCAACTGAGTCAGCTCCATTAGAAAGCCTTCCAAGAAGTCCCACTTGACAACTTCTGTTTATTTCTCATTGGCCACCCCTCTTGGCAAAGGAGGCTAGACATGTAGATTTTTAGCTAAGCACATTGTCAGCCCCCACGGTGTCACTAGAGATGAATGATAGGTAACTAGAAAACTCTTGGAATTACCTGTTTTGTTTTTTTTTTCTCATCCCCCTGCCTGGGCCCCCAAGTCTTAAGAATATGTACTTCCTCCTGCAAAGAGATTGGGACAAAGAAAGAATGTTGTTGCTTGTGTTCATGAGGAACATGGCAGAGATCTGAGCCTCAGCATGAGCTTTGTCTACTGCCAGACCAGATATGTCTGGTGAAAAGCTGGGGCAGCCAAATCTGGGGCTGATGCTGGAGCAGCAATATTGTCACAAGGGATGGGGAAGCCACCTGGAAGAGACTCATTCTAAAGGAGAAGTGATGGTAACAGATAATAGTAATGATTATGGAAGATTGTATTTTTTCAAAGATTGCCACATCTATGTTCTTACAATGGGACGGACACTCCTTCCACCAAGAGATGGGTCTATGTTCCTCCCCTTTAATCTGGGCAGGGGTTTAGATCACTCTCACTTGTATGGTACAGCAGTACTGATGCCATGTGACTTTGGGCCAGGCAATAAGAGGTATACAACTTCCTGGCTCTTTCCTCTCAGGATTCTTGTCCTTGGAACTCAGCTGCTCTATTATAAAGAAACCCAAATTAGCCCATGTGGAGAGACCACAAGGACAGAAACTGAGGCCCCAAGTTGTCAGCCGACATCAACCTTCAAATATGTGAGTGAATGAGACTTTGGATGATTCCAGTCCCATCTCCAAGTCACCCTTAAACTTTTATGCCTTCCAGCTGCAGCCCAGACATCATGGAACAGAGACAAGCTGTTCTCTCTGTGCGTTGTCTAAATACATAAACCACAGAGTCTATGAGCATTAGACTTTCTTTAATGTCGCTAAATTTTGGGGTAGCTTGTTTTATGGTCATAGTAACTGAAACCGTGAGTAATAATAGAAGTCACAGCAACTACTATTTGTTGAGGTTCACTGAGTGCTGGTGTCATGCTAAGGCATCCTTGGCATATGTAAGTTGGTTCGTTTGTCATGTGAAAATGTCACAGCCCTGAGCTGATGATCAGGGCTGAGGGCCAAGGTTGTGGGGCAGCTAATACACATTTTGGGTTTCAGAGGAAGGAAATGCTGTGGCCTGAGGTGACCACGGAGTGCTTTCCAAAGGTGACGGCACTTCAGCTGGACCAGAAGGATAACTGGGATCAGAGAGGCAGTGTGAAAGAACCAGACGCCAGAGGCAGAGCTGTCTCTCATCTCATTATGACCATCCTATTTCCCAAGACAATGTAGTAGAAAGAGAACTTAACCCAGGAACTGTTAGGCGTGAGGTCTTTTCTTGGCCCTGTCACTAACTAGCTTGTGACCTTGGATCAGCTATTTACTTTCTCTGTGTCTAGGGTTTTCACACTTAGGGAGAAACCCTAATGGGGCACCAGCAGGCCCATGTACCAGTGAAGAAAACAGTCCAAAGAGCACACTGAAAGATAAAACTTTCAAGTCAACCCTGCAGCGATGCTCCTGACATAAGAACACAGCAAAGGAGGAAGAGTGACTTTCTGAAGCCCATTTTGTGCCTGAGGTTTTATGGAGGACCCTGTGTTCTTATTTTAAAGGCGTCTTGTTGTTGTTGTTTGACTTGCTAAGGGAGAGAGAGAAAAATCTTTGAAAATGGGATGTGCAGGAAGACATAAATTTGTGGAGTGTGAAAAGGGGAAATAGGAAAGATGATACAATCCGACTCACTGAAAAAGTCGTAGCCTTTCAATCTGCAGACTCAATTAACTGTCAAATTTAGAGCTACCATTAACCATATTTATCGCTTACATAAAAGTTTCTAAGACATGTAAGGCTAGGGCAAATAGTAGAAAAGGAAAATTTTTGTTTTTCTTAGGAGATTTAGATCTAGGCATAGGGCTTCTATTTTCTGTTCACTACTTGACTTTCAGAATCTGCATTTAGAAGATAAATCACAGCTTTCCGGAGCTGGAAGAGACCCAGTTTCTGCATTTTACAGATGAAGAAACTAAGGACCCAAAGAGAACTTGAGATTCAGAAGTGGGGAGCGTGGGATTCTGAGGCAAGAAATGGGAATAATTGGCCATGTGCCAATCAGCAGGTCGCTACCCTCCAAGCTTCAGTTTACTCATATATATAATAAAGATAAGAATACTATCTCTTCTTATCAGATGTTGGTACCTGATTCTTACCAGAGATTTTGGAGATTTTTAGAATGGTTCCCCAAAAGGGCACTATGGTCTCAGGCTGCATTAACAGAGATATCTCACCTAGAATGATGGAAGTGACCATTTTACTCAACTCTGCACTGGTCAGACTATACTTGGAGACTTGTTTGGGCTCCATGCTTTGAGAGGGGGGGTCTTGGGAAACTAGATCCTATATAAAGAGGGCGAGGAGCTTAAAATGTGTCTTAAGAGAAACAGAAATTTTGGGTTGGAAAAGAGAAGATTCAGGGCGGAGGGAGCAGAAGAACTTTATTCAAATCCCTGAAGTCTTAAGAAGTGAGATTTATTCTGAATAGTTTGAAGGACTGGTAAGTAGAAGATTTTGGCTTTATTCAATCCTGTGCCTAGCTCATAGTAGACGCTCTTGATGATGATAGCTGATAGGATTACTGTTAAGGGTACCAGAAAGAACTGTCTCTCACTTTTCTAGAAGCACAATAGGCTGCTTTGGAAAAGGGTGAGCTTCCTAAGGCCAGAATTACTAAGGCGGAGAGGCAGTCAAGGATTGGAAAAGTCAAGGGATTGGCAAACTTTGATGCCAGATAGTAAATATTGTAAGCAGATTTGGCTACATAATTTATAGGGCCTGGTGAAATGTTAGGCTCTTGTTAAAAAATGATTAAGAATGTTAAGACAGCAGCAGTGGAGTATTAAACCAAGCCTGCAGCATCTTCTAAGCCCGGAGTTCTATCGGTTGCATGCCATGAAGTTAATCCTGGTTTTAGGGTCTGCGGGCCACGCAGTCTCTGTCACAATAATTCAGCTCTGCCATTGTAGCAGAAGAGCAGCCACAGACAGTATGGAAATCAAGGGGAATGATTGTGTTCCAGTAAAACTT